AAATAAATTTAATGTTTTATGCGCTTAAATTATAGAGTTTGCAATAAAAATTTGATAGTTATATTTTTGTTTATATGCCCTAAATTTGATTAGGTTTAACAGCTTGTAACTGACGAAGTACCATATAACATATGACCTCGTAGACAGCCACTTAGGTTACTTAAGTAAGGGAGACTCTTTGACCGGTTCTGCGCCAAAACTTACTTCACCAACCTTACGTTAATCTTTGCTTTTATGCCAAAGTTCCGAACATTCCATCCCTGTTTTACAGTTGACGTAGTATTAATTACCTAAAACTAATATTTCAGAGGTTTTACGATGTTATTATAAATATTACGACTATAAGAAATTTAACTCTGACAGAATTGACATAATTATTATCACTATCATAATTGAGACAAGTATGCCACCTAGGTGCGTATTTGAACCCAATGAGTGAAGGATGAGTGTGAAATGGAGTGATATGTAACATGTACAACATATATGAAAATTTGAACGAATAGTTTTGGCCTCTGGGGACTTCAAAATGAAATAGTAAATCGGTCCCGGGTCATGGTCCTACCGAGCCACCTACGGTTATATACTTCCCTCAAGAAAATCTGTATCCAATTTCGATCCGTCAAAAAGCTACTGACTCTTTACCTTCTATACAAATTTTAAAACACTAAACAAAACTGCAACTCATGCGTCAACGAATTGTTCAGCGAATAATACCTGGATTGAAAAGCACATTTAGCTCTCGCTGGACTGATCATAGACTGACAAGTCGTTCATTGTAATGTTGTAAAGACTGAAAACCTCCCCTGGGACGTTGCGACGATTTTCGTGTTTCATTTTGCGAAAAGGAGACGGCTTGCTGTAAAATGTATCTGGATGTATTATGCAGCGACGCCGAGCGCGATGGTAGGGGAGGGGGAGGGGGCGGACCAGGTGTTTTACATTTTGAGTGGTTACTCCACTACGTTCCATCATTGGTAAGCATTACTGTGATTGTGACGAATTCTGATACGATAAACTCGATGCTTTTAAGTTGCAGTATGTTTATTCATTTTAGACTACATTAGTGTTATACAATCAGACAGGGTTACCTCCCTCAATAGTATACTAGGATTGAAATTACATTCATAATTGCAACCTTTTTCGCCTAAGTCATCTAAGTGATGACACTATTCAGTAGAGAATTAATAATTGTATGGCTTTTAGAAAAGGTAATAAACCAATGTATGGAATGACAACGAAATGTGTGAGTTCTTGGCATATTTCAGCACAATCTTCCAGCAAAAGTTAGTTTATATAAAGTATAAACGAAAACTCCTTTTTTTATATTCTGTACTATTTCGCCTCAGTCAAAAAGAAGAAAAAAGATAATTGTGAGAACTAGGGAATGTCGAAGCCGTAATTTTAGTTTAGGGTCTCAGTTTTTTATCAATTAAGTTTTAATTTTTAAAAAGCCTAGCAGCCGACGTAAACATTGTAGACTAGTTTTTGCTGTAATACCATTTGCTTAACGTAACAGCTGTAAACATTCAGCGTTTGCGACACAAATTCAGCATTAGGATAAAAATGAAATTACATACTTAGGGTCGACTTATTTATACTATGTGTAATGCTATAATTATTGATACGTTCATTTATTCGGTAAGAGGTTGACATATTATTTAAATATACATAGTAAAATACTAATGTTCTTATGTTTTCGAGCAGTCTTAAAAATCTTTAGTTTGTTTTAGTGCAATATAATTTGTTTGAAATAACAGCTGGATGGATATAAAAATATTCTATAGAACTATGAGGTTAGTTTATTTACTGTGTGATTTTGTCGTTGATTATAGGAAATAAGAAAGATTCTATTACCATTGCTGTACGAATCGAAGGTTAAGAGCTTTCAAAATAAAGCTAAAGCAATTTTTTCCTACACAAATTTTTGAAGAAAGGTTGGGAAATAACAATGATTACATCTTTTAATTCATCTCGGCAGCTTTTTTCTTTTGAACTGCTTAAACTATGCTTGAATTAGGAATATAAATATTGTTATAACTATGTACAGTTTTAATGGACACTCCATTCCCGTACGTAGGACGAGCCAACAGCTCGTGCCTATTTATAATGTAAAACAGATATACCTAATCATTTGTAGAGTGTGTGTTGTACCGGTACTCAGACCTGTAAGAGATGTGCATAATATTTAACAAGCCAACTTCAATAACATTATTTAATAGTACCTAAACTGGATAACATAAAGGTCTAAAAGTTGATAAACACTCAATAACAATGAAAGAGTTGATTATTTTACGTTATTAGATAGATTTAGTATTAAGTTATGCTTATCTCGATTATCCGACACCTCGTTGGTTGCACAAGAGTCGGATTATCGAGAGTGAACTACTGTTATTCTGCATGCATGTATTGCACAACCAATAACACTTGGTTCCTGATGATGTTTATTATTTACGACTGTGTCAGTGAGTATTAAACACGTCAGTATTTTCAATTCATCTCCGCAATCGAATAAACTGTTCAATTCGATTTTACATGGGTCATGTTTATTTTGGGGAGTTTGATTTTCGAAACGAAATGTGAAATGGAATTATTTTTGTTTTTGAGTCTCTAAAGATAGTCTTTTGCGGACTTTGACTCATATGGTTATGTCAAAGCTTATCTCAAAAACAAATCAGCTGTTCTGAACCTTCAATATGTAAAATGTTCTTTCTATAATTAACTAGCTGATGTACCCGTGCTTTGCAACGGGAAGAGGACACAAAATAGAAACATTTTGATCTTTACATTTGTTGTATAAAAAAGTTACACATCCACTAACGCTTTTAGTAACAAAATTCGGCTGCACTTTGGTATCCATTGACATAAATAAAAAAAATCTATAATGAAGTTTTACATTAAATTTAATAGCACTGCACCCTGTTGGTAAACCTTATAACTTGTTAATGCTATTTAATATCATAGAACCAACTTAAACAGCTGACATAATGCGTTTATTCCTTTTAAATATGCATACTCATAAGGTTAACATGGGAAACTGCAGAGCCACTGGGGCGGAGCCCGAAAGGAATTTTGAGATAAAAATGCGTCTATATGTTAATCGGGAATGTGAGCTATCATCACACCAAATTTTAGTCCAATCCGACCAGTATTTTTTGCGTTTACTTGTCACAAACATACATCCATACATCCAAACTTTCTCATTTATAATATTAGTAGGATTAAGTACTCGTTCGATTTGTTTGGTAAAGTAAAATTTCCTTTTTAATCAAACGGTTTTGGCTATATTTTGTTTTTTTGCTATAATATATGACAATGTAATGAAAAATATTGTTCGTAACTCGTCTAAAAATGCTTTTTTGTGACTTGCGAATTTCCGAATTTTGAATTTTCAAGTTAAACACGATATCGTCCCAAAAAAACCCTACTTTAGGGACTAGTAACGAAAACTACTAATTCGTTTGTATATTTAAATGTTCAGAATAAACAACCAAACCATTTCCGAAATGGTATGCGTTTTAGTTTATTTCAGATGAAAATCGTATGTTTCATTTAAATGTCCTTTTGGGCACAATTAAAATGTATTTACCCACTCGATAATTAATGTTTTCGTAATTTACTAATTGCAATTTACTTTGAGTGCATAAGTATAGCAAATTAGTTTATTTCGGGAACACATTTGATAACTTAAGTCTAGTACAAGGAAATAATGTTTTATTGGTAAATAATCTTTAGCCAAAACCACTGCAACCATCTTCAAAACCATTGGAATTATTCAATTTCATCTTTCATGCTCATCGTGAACACATAATAATTGTACCTGATTTTCCGTTCCAAGTCATGATAAACAGACCCATTTATTTCTTTTCATTTCAATGAAAGTATTATCACTTTTGTGTTAAATTTATACTTAACATAAATAATGTTTTAATTATAGTTATTCCAAAATCTATAGCAATTAGATTTTAAGGCAGTTACAAGATTACCCATTCCATCAAACTAGAGAACGGGTTACTTTATGATCACATTAAGTAAGACATTGACTCCCGTCATGAGCTTACATAAAGCCTAATATCGTGAAAGAATTATATGTGTTTTATATCTAAGCCACTGTATACTGTGTTATAATTTTAGTTGTCTTTTGAGAAAATACAGGGTGTCCCGAAACTAAAAAGCCAAATTTGAGAATAACGTATGGGTCAAAAGAAAGGGAAAATCTAGATTGAATCTTTCTCCAAAATTACTTTGTAAACCATATATAAACCATTTTGTATTTTTATACATAAACATTTTTATCTTTGAGTTGATCCAACCGATCTTTATGAAACTTGGCATTTAATTTAGGTAGAGTTATGTTCAAATGGCGGCCATTTTTTTAACTACTAGAAATTGGCTAATTTCGTATAATCATCAAGTGCACTTTTATTTAGCATTTAAAATGACCTATCACACGACACAAAATTCAAAATATCTAATGAAAAAATAGTGGATTTTTTGTTGTAAAATAAGGCAAAATGAAGTGCGACCTGACTAGCTTAGCCCTAGTAAATTGGGATTGGGTCTAGGTTGCCATGCCACCTACAGCAATAGACTTCCCTATAAGGAAATTCACAAAAAGTAAAGCTTTCATATACAAACAGTGAAGAAATCACAACTGACCAATTTACACAAAGAAATAATTTCAAACATGCGATTATAACTAAATAACAATTTAGTTATACCAACAGTTTAGTTATTTACCAACAACAATTTAGTTATTTACCAACAGGTAAATATAAATAATGTCTGTAAGGTCATGAACATTACATACAGTGTACCTGATCTTAGAGTCAAATACGCCTCAGTTAGAAAATCAACAAACTTCTATTTTATTGATATCACCATTTTTTTAGCATTTATACATTTCGTTCGAAGTATGGAAAATGTACAATAGTTAAGTTATTTGAATAATGCATGTTAAGTGTTTATTTATAAGGTACTGATCATTTTTGTGTTTGTTTCAGAACGAAAAGAATCAAATTATGAAATCGAACGTGTGGCTAAGGCTTGTAAGTATCCTATCCCAAATTGTAGTACAGTTAACAATATCATTCAGTTATCCTATTGCACGTTTAGATAAAATATATATATTAATTCCATTTTGTTTATAAACAACCACGAATACCCTCAACTTGAATATTTTGAAATTTTTAATTGTTAACTTACAAGGTTACTACTAAATCTCATTTTTTGAGCAAGAAGAAGGAGCACAGTTTTGTGACAAGACATTCATAATCATAATCCTTATTGGAAAATATGTGTAATGAGGGAGATTCGTTATATATTTGAATATTGAATATTGTTGAATATTGTTGAATATTGTTGAATATTGTTGAATATTGTTGAATATTGTTGAATAATGTTGAATATTGTTAAATATCCGTTTCTATTTTTAAGTATTCACCGGTTTCAGAATGAAACCGAACTTAGTCGAATTATTGAGCCACCAACGATGCTTGCTGCTGAAAATTACTAGTATCCGTTGTCATACCGACTGTCTGTAAATAAAACATGTGATTGGAATTTCTTCCATTTGTTTTGATTTCTGTTTTTATTTCGTTCTTGTTCAGTCACCAGCATATCAACCCATAAGGCTCATGTTATTTTTTAATTTTGAATTCCTTTTCTGTGCTTATTTTTGAGCCTATTTTAATTTATAAGGGGATTCTGTACATCTACAGGAAAATATATTTCTAAGATTGTGCATAAATTTACCCTGCGATGCATACAAGCTGAGAAAAGGTTTTAAATAAACATGCTTGCCTATTAATACACATATATTTATTAAAGTATCAAAAACTAAAAGATATTATAAAATGTTCACCATTATACACCCTGTGGTCAGCTCATTGAAATCTATTTCAATTAATTTAATGAGTTGGAACGAATTAAGATTTGGAATTAAATGAATTTGAATGAAAAATTGGCTACAGCGGGTTAATAAGTAAGGGGTGTTTATCATAATGTTGAAAACATAAAAGAATACATTCTCATGTATGAATTTAGGATGAATTCATAACATTTTCCGAATTAAAACCACGTATAATACGCCCACAGTTTTCCAGCTTAGTTAAAAACCTTTCTTAAATCGTACTCTCAATAGGAAACGGACTCAGCGTTTTCAGAAACTGCAGAATAATTAATTTAAGTCTGTAATTGGTCGTTTGATTATCTTTATTTATGAAAGAAGGCCATTTTCCCGTTCTAAAAGATGAGTAAATTGTTCTTCATTCCATTCTCTTTTCAATATACATTTTTAATTAAAACCTGCTGTAATATCTTCTCAAATTATTAAGATTTACAGTATTTTACTTTAGCTGGACAACATAAATTGATCAGTAATTTAATTTTAGAACTGTTTCAGCCTACTATAACTCAGAAGTTTTATGTAGCTTTGGTAAATACAGGGTAATTATAAATTATTGTTACACTTTTGAAACTCTAGAAATGAACAACTATACAACGTAGCATCACGAGGTGAGAATTAATTAAAAGAGGAGATTCTAAAGTTTTGTTTGACAACACTTTGGTAAAAATAGTTGCAGAATTAGCCTCTACAAACATGTTTAGATTTTAACTAATATTTTAAATTAGTTACACACTTTTACCGCTCTATATCAAAAAACGTCATACCTTACGTTGAATTGTCAAAGGTTTTAAGTAATACTGCTAGGAGTCAATTTGTTCTATAAGCTCACTTATTGTTGTCCGTCATTATTGTAAGCTGCAAGGAACCTTCAAAAAGCAAAAAGTGTTCTGATTTTTAGATTTTGGGACTTCAATCGTCGAATATATGTGTGCTCTGCAGCCAGAGAGGGGCAAATAAAGCATGTTTAGTTGTTAGCCATAATCCATTTATACACCATCAATTTCGTGATCCGTCTAATCGGCTCCGCCCCAGTGGCTCTGGAGTTTCCCATTTTAACCTTATGAGTACTTATAAAGAATCTTAACAGCTGTTTCAACTAAACAATTTGATTCTGTGATGTTCGATAGCATTAACAAGTTAATAGGTTTACCAACAGGGTGCAGCACTATTATTTTTTTTTTATTTATGACAACAGCTAATTTGTACTAAGCATAGACAAAAAGCTGTGATACATGGAATGGATGGATTTGTTACAGTTATGTTTATGTAGCCAGTTAGTACTAATAGTAAATAAATAAAAGTCTATCTACATACAGCAGATCTAGGGAACATATTAATTGTTCTATTTAGCGTTCTCAAGCTGCTTGCCATTAATTTTCAAGGAACCAAAATTGTCTCTTCCGCACCTTGGCCCCGTTGCAAGGCACGGGTATAGCGGCTAGTTTTATAATAAATCAAAAATAAACAAAAATTACCTATATATTTATTTGTCCTAGAGATCGTCCAGTTCTCAAAGACTCGACTAGAAATATATATGTAATGTACAGACTTCTCTATTCTATAAGTTGTTCCTGAGTTTTACAAAACAGTTTTAAAGACACTTTTCACACGGATTTATCGACGAGCAGTTTTTTAGAAACTTTTCCAAACAAAGATCCAGACTTTCGTGTTATACCCAGTTATACAAATTGAATACCAACCGAGTTGAGAGAAAAGGGTAAATTTTTTAGAGACCCTCCTCTAAACAAAACAAGCATACATTGCAATTTTCACAGAGACACAGAATTATTTCATAATTTTATTAAATATAAACAATTTCAAATACTTAGATATTTTAACTAGGGTGGGTTAGTGAATTATTTTTCCCATTTTACCAAAACATATTTATCGTGTCCGTAGATTTTTACAGGACAACAATTTTTTCAGTTGGTTTGCAACTTCATGCTTAAACTCAAAGTATAAACAGACTCACGTGCCAATAATAAATCAAAATATAACAGGATTCCCGATTCTACCCAACTTAAATAGTCAGTCTATAACTCAAGTAAATTTATATGAGTACTTAGATTTGAGCCGAATATAAATTAAGGGTGAGTGTGGAGTAGAGCGGATGATTTGAGTACCTTTGTTACTGACTAAGATCAGCTGTTTTGTTAAGCAGGATCATTTTTTGAAAGCCCAATTATCAAGGAGAGCTGAGTCCACTTTTGAGCCATACAAAAGTATTGACTTTTCTCAGAATTGAACCGGTGACATTCAAATTTCTATGTGAGCAAGATGGTCCCTCAGTTACCCAGCTATTTATTTTATTTACACCACAACGACAAAAAAACTATTTTATAAGGATATTTAACCAACAACGGGAGTCTACCAAAGTTCATATGTTGTGGATAGATGTGAATATTACAGAGGAGATGATATTATCTCCATTGTCTCTGACAAGGCTCAAAATTATCTTTCCTTTTGCTACTGTCACTATACAATTTCTTGCTAATATTTTAGGTACTCAGGTTAATGTTACAGGATACATTACATAACGATTAGCATAAATGTTTGGGTTCAATTAGAAAAGTTCATAAATTAAAACTATTTAGTTACAATAACATACCACTCGCTATCTACTGTATAACTTGATAATTTTATATAGAGTTTGGATTTTTCTTTATGAATACAAAAACTCCTGAATCGACTGACCGGAGTTTTTACATTAATGTAGACTATGAACAATGCAAACATATAAGACTATGCATACTCTAAAAAACCTTTCATGCTGTGTTCAATTGACTTCCAAAGATTTGAGGAGAAACTTGCGGGAGTAAATATTGATTTGTCTTCATTGCAACAAAGAAAAAAGATCAGCTGTTTTGTTAAGCAGGATCATTTTTTGAAAGCCCAATTATCAAGGAGAGCTGAGTCCACTTTTGAGCCATACAAAAGTATTGACTTTTCTCAGAATTGAACCGGTGACATTCAAATTTCTATGTGAGCAAGATGGTCCCTCAGTTACCCAGCTATTTATTTTATTTACACCACAACGACAAAAAAACTATTTTATAAGGATATTTAACCAACAACGGGAGTCTACCAAAGTAACAACGTACCAAAGTATAACATGTTTATATTTTTACTAAATAATATTTTAGTGCGTCCAATAAAAAATTTCAACTTCTCACTCCAAAATAAATTAAACATTTTTACGGATTGCCAACCAATTGCCTTCAAAGCGTTGAAGAATACAGTCCCAAGGTTTAAGATTATAATTTCAACAGCTACATAATAACGGAGAAAATGTCCACTGAGTCAGTTCAAAACGACATGATTTAAGTTTATCTGCTAAAAAAAATACCCCCGCCGCAGCAAACCTGCAGACTTAGCGAATTTCCATCTGCCTGATTAGATTTAAACTAAAATGTCTCCTTAAAAATATCACATTTATTCCCTATTTAAACAGAATTAGTTTAATGAGTACTTAGGTTTGCTGCAACAGGGAGAGTAAAAAAGTTTTTTTTAAATGTAAAATATTAAAAGGTACTGTGGTTTGGTAAGAAATTAATGTATTTTCCAAATTTGATCAAAATATGTTCATAAACAAGCAAACTACAACAGTTGACTTATTCTCCATAAGAATAACATGGGAATTTTAAAATTACAATTTTTTTAAATTTTCTCCGTAACAATTAGGCGCATAATAACGCTTCAATATACTAAATTATTTGTTTTTTTAAGCTCTACAAAATGGTTAAAAAAGAAATTGTGAAATTTTGGGTTTTTAGGGTCAAAAATGAGAAAATCCTATTTTTACCCCATAAAACCCCCCATAAACCCCCGTTCCCATAGTCCGATCATGCTGGTTCGCGAACTCATTCAAGTTTATCTCGCCTTACACCTTCAAACCAAATTTTATCAAAATCGGACAAAAATTACTCAAGTTATCGTGCGGATGGACACATATATATATATATATATATATATATATATATAAATTTGAACGAATGGTGTTTTTGGCCTTTGGGGACATCAAAATGAAAAAGTAAATCGGTCCCGGGCTTAGGTCTTACCATGAGACCTACGGTAATAGCTACTTCCCTATAGGGAAATTCGCTAACAAAGTCTTTTTCTAAATAAATTCTTGTTAATGTTAGGAAAGTACCATAGAACTATTTGTCGTTCAAACAACTTTACCCTCCTTGTGTAGTTTTCAAACATTTCGTTGGTGTTATTGATATTTTTACACACACACACGTAAAAAAGTAAAATTCCAATTTTCCTGGTTCGTAATAATCTTTTTGATGGATAAAGTTCACCTTTGACTGTAGACATTATTCGTGGCTACCTTAAGTAATTACATTGCGTCCAAGCAAAGGAGTCGTTACTCCAAAATATGCATAAAGTAATGACTTCCCTTTGGCAGTGTTGATAATTTCCGCCACAAGTATATGGTTGGTTAGTTTTCCATTTTGTTAGCAATATTTTTCAATTCAAAGGAGTTAAACCAAGATTAAACTGTAGCAAGAGTAAGCAAAACGCTTATATTCAAAGATAGGCCTATGTCATATAATACCGGGTGTTTCAAAATGAATAGCTGGGTTTTAACGCTTTATAATTTTTATATTATTAAACTTACCGCCATAAAATACGCATCAAATGAAAAAGCAACTCAAAGAGTTTATGCCTTCCAAAGACACATCATTTAACAAAATTGATCCAGCAGAACTGTAGATTTAATTGTATAAAGTTAAAAAGTAATCTCCAACTTTTTTCATCACTAGAAATTCGGAGGTTGCTTGACGTTTTTGCAAATAACTTTTAAATAGTGAGGAAATCGACCAAATTGGAAGGTAATATTCCGAAAGAGAATAAAATTTCCTACAATCCACTACTATGCATTTCATGAAAATACTCAATAAATGTAGCCTGAATTTGGCTTATAATAAAAAAAGTGTGAAATTCAATGTTTGCTATAGTTATTGTCTACATTGGAGACGGAGATTTTCAATTCTTTCATTTTGATGCAATTTACGGTACCATTCTTGAGTATTAAAAAAATGCATAATAGTAGATTGTAGGAAATTTTATCCTCTTTCGGAATATTTCCTTCCACTTTGGTCGATTTCCTCACCATTTAAAAGCTATTTGCAAAAACATCAAGCAACCTCCGAATTTTTAGTGATGAAAAAAGTTGGAGATTACTTTTTAACTTTGTACAATTAAATCTACAGTTCTGCTGGATCGATTTTGTTAAATAATGTGTCTTTGGAAGGCATAAACTCTTTGAGTTGCTTTTTCATTTGATGCGTATTTTATGGTGGTAAGTTTAATAGTATAAAAGTTATAAAGTGTTAAAACCCAGCTATTCATTTTGAAACACCCGGTATAAGGAAAGGGGTCTATGTATGCTGGACTCGAAACAGCAGCTATCAGATATGAAGGCGAGCATTCTGTATAAACACGTATTTGTATTACATCATTCAGAAGAATGTTTTTATCAAACACCTCTTCGCTCTTGTTATCTGATTAATGTTGACTATCTCTAAATATCGGTGCTATTGTAATGATGAATTTTAAAAGACAAATTATAGAGATTGGTTTTACCAGCTCTGCGAACCCAGTTCAAAAGTATTCATACATTTATTCAGGAGTGTTTTGTTTATTCCTCAGCCGTTATAACTGTTGTCCTACCATCAATACGTCGAAGCTTCTTAGGTTTTGCCTATGGTTTACCGGTAAGGTGGTTTTATAGGGTTAAACCATAGACAAAAAGAGTTAAATATAGACTGTCAGCCGTGCAGTGGTTACCATGGTTACCATAGGTTCTGGCGCACACCGCTGGGAGCGCCGTGCAGTTACATAGCACGTAGGCCGTAACTACATGGCGCTCCCAGCGGTTTGTGCTAAAATCTATGGTAACCGCAGCACAGCTGACGGTCTATATTTAATTCTTTTTGTCTATGGTTAAACATTAGGGGTTATATATGATGGTTTTTATGGGGTTAAAATTAGTCTTTCTCATTTTCTTCAAATACCAAAGTGTTGTAATAATAAGCAGATGTTAAAATTAACATCAGTTTGTTTGTTTACTTTTCTATGTTTGCCACTCGTAAAGTAATGTTACTCAAGCTGACATTTTGATATTTAAATGAAAATCCTATCAGGCAAATGGAAATTCGCTGAGTCTGCAGGTTTGCTACGACGGGGGTATTTGTAAAATATCTCGAAAACTACGCGTTTTACTGCAAAATGCGTTATTTGAAAAACACATACTTTCTCCCATTGGCTTGTCAACAATCTTTATCATGGGTAAGCGGTGGGAGTAACTATGATAGGGAAAAATCAAAAAGGCTGCAATAACTTTTGAACTGTAATTGTTAGAGCAATGGGGGGTTGCATTATTTTGTTTAGAAATTTACGGCCTTAACAAATCAAAACAACCCGTTTTTTTATAAATTCCATTATTTTATTTTATGGGAAAATGACATAAGTTACAATAACTTTTGAATAATAATTTACAGAAATGGGATGTGTACAATTTTTCCAAATTGAAAGGACCATACAGTAGCATACTAATTATACTCCAGACCGGTATTTTTCTAAAATTAAATTTTTCGTTATTTTATGAGGTTTTTATGGAAAATTAACATAGTTACAACAACATTTGAACCGCAATTTTTACGATAATGGGATTTCTACCATTTTTTTTTTTAATTTAAAGGACTATAACATACTAAATCTTTATCAAAACCGTTCGGGCCATTTTTTAGAAAATCAGTTTTTCCTTTATTTTATGGGTTTTTATGGGAAAATCGCCATTAAACGAAACTAAAAAATACGGTTTCGAGATTCCCCCTCCTCTCAAAATGATATTTCTTACAACAGAAGGGATCATGAAAATCCGACAATTTTGTATTCAGAATCTTGTAATAAAAAACACAGGTAGCCCATTTGCATTAGTTTTGTTTATTATTCCTTTTAATTAAATATATGTATATATAACATTTTACACTTAAATAAAAATGCGTTTCCGTAATTATTTTATCGAAAGTGCTTGTACAGCTGAAGGTCCTCTAACAGGATGAAACTCTGTGAAAATATGGATTACTTGCGTCCGGATGAGGCAGTTTTAGGAGGGAATCCAGGATTTGGGACTGACAGCCAACACACTGTATTGGTTGACACGTCGAAACATCCTTGTCAATAACAGATGGGAAAATCAGAGACCGTGCAATGTAGAAATACATTTTTATAGAATTTCATGAATCGTTCTGTTTTGTATGCTTGAAACAATATTGGAAAAATAGAGGATATGAATTAATACATATATTTTTTTTAATTTTATTAGTTCAAATCATTTATTTAACTTGTAATTTTCCGTCCACGTCTTAACAGCATTTGCGTGGAACATCAAGCAAAGCTAGGGTTGATCCTGTACAGAACAAAAGTAAACTGCAGGCCTAGTGATAATTTTACATGGTGGCAGCGGGGTACGGACCCACAACATATGGCTACCTTAGTTTCATATTCTGCCTACCTTGACTGAGCCACTAACAGAATAATCAATTAGGAATCGTTTTCGATTGATTTCGTGTTTCAAAAACACTATATTATTTACCGGCTATGGGGATATTAATTGCCGGTAATAATTTAGTATAGGTGCCTCCAAATGGATTTTAAATTTTGATGTCTTGCTTTATAGTTTTTTACCTCCTGCATCCAAATATAACATTATTTTTCACAGCAAATGAATGTTGCTGAAGATACAGTTAAATGTACAATGTTTGAAAAAACAAGTTTTAAAAGACAAACTACATTTACAAGTGGAATGCCAATGTAGGCTAAAAAGTTAATCCTCATAGGAAATTTTCTAAAGTGGGATTACAGTATGTAGTAGAATGGTGCTGTTCTAACATAATCTATCATTTTTTAAAGGATTTTGAAGTGTTTTCCAGGGTTTTAACTACACAAAAACAGTCTTTAGGAGATGAATACCAACATCTCGATTCATTATAACCTAAACTTTACCTTCCGAATCTAACCTAACTTCAAAACACTTAATACAGCCCCTAATTCGCATAAAGCTTGACCTACCTAAATAAGAACTAAGTTTAAGTTTCTTTCAATTAGTTTCAATTCATTCCCCTTGTAAAGGTCATCCTTGCTACCTTGTTAATTCAAAAGTTCTATATTTAAACAGTGATATCTTCAGTAATGTTCATTTGCTGTGAAAAATAATGGTATATTTGGATTCAAGAGGTAAAAAACTATAACGTAAGACATCAAAACTAAGAATTCGATTGGTGGCCCCTATACTATAATAATTACCTGATTTTGTTTGTTTCCTGGGTTAATTGTTTGTAAATTGAATTCATTTCGATGGTTTTTCGTGAATCTTTGTAGTTAAACGAATTTGTTTCCACTTTTTCCTTTAAGGTTACGTATTTTACCAGTATTGCGTATATTTCGCTAAGTGAGGGATATTCCATGCAGCGGCAATTTTCCCAACTAGGAACCTACATAGGCGAATCCAGCTTGAAGTATGATCCGAACCAAGTAGCTAAATCACCTGTTTTAATATCAGCTGGTTCTGTTACAGGTTTGGAATGACTATCAGCTGCAGTGGGACGAAGCAGACTACGGCGGTATCGGTGTGCTGCGATTACCGCCAGACAAAGTATGGAAACCGGACATCGTATTGTTCAACAAGTAAGTAGCCTATCTGCCTATACAGGGTGTCTTGCAAGAACAAACTTAGTCATGTTCAGCATGTCAAAAGAAACAAAAAACGTAACATAACATGTGTCCTATCTCATTCCGTTTTCGGTCTAACTGTCTGTATGTGATTTTTACTTAGCTACAGCGTTGAAATTTTGTAAAAATGGGCAAAGAATAACTGAAAAATTAATGTTTTCATACCATACCTTCAGTTTTATCTTTTAAAACCATGTTTAAAATTAGTTTTATCATTTTAACATTGTTTAAATAGAGAAAACTGTAGGTACGGCAAGAAAAAAAAATAATTTCTCAGTTATTCTTTGTCTAAACTAAGCTTACAAGATAACGTTGTAATCTGCATTAAATTTACTAGATTTTACATGTCTTGCAAATATTTTCTAAAATTAATGGTTTTCATGGAATTTGACATCAAATTTTTAAAAGCCGCCATTTTTTACTGTAGCCTGATTGAGATAGGTTATATAGTACATTTCATCACTAGGGCGTAAAGTGACTCTTTTCCACCCAAGCTCAAGTTCACGATCGAGGCGAAGCCGATGTCAGGAAATAAGTGGTTGAAAAGACACTTTATGCCCGTGTGATGAACTATAATGAGAACTATGTTATGTATTTTTCGTCATAATGCAACATTAAATAGCAAACTAAGAAAGCGACAAATTCTGTTCATGTAAAGATAACCTTTCAAAATGATTTCCAACTCGATTTAAATATTGCTAACGAAAATAAGTAGCTGTTTAGTAAGTGATTCGATCATTTCATCTATTACGATTGTGTTAATGTACATTACACTGCCGATGAGTCGAACTATTGACAAGAATGCAACAATAAGCTAAGACCGATTAAATCAATCGATAAATCATTTCGATACATGCGAATGCTTACAATTAGAAGTTTACGACAGCTGACTTTTACTCCCTAGGGACTAAAAAGGCTTTGCATTCCTTGGGGAGTAATAGAACTACTTTAAACCGGCAACACATGTATCAAAAACGGGGTTTACTGCAGTATGACGAAAATTGATTTTTATTTTATAGATCTGGCATATTTTAAATATTGCTATTTTGTATTTATTCGTAGGCCTATAATAGGTTTTCTATCTTGAACAAATATTTGTTTACAATTATTGTTTTCATGAATGATATTTTTGTTAAGGAAGACATCATCTAAACCTAAAAGGCCTATTGCATTGTTCAATTTGCCTTGGACACAGGTTTTAAGCATTGCTAAAATGCGCGTTTTTCACATGGTCCCACACGTTTTGACTCAAATCACGATTCCCATTGTTTTGGGACGTATGTGACGTACATATTAGTGGGTGACGGTTCTGTAAATTTAAACATAAATTCGAAAAAAAAACATTAAAAACACTTGTTTGTATGTAATAGCTTAGTAAATCTAAAAGTGGCTATGCAGTTAGGAAAAGACATCCATGTATTGTTTTATTTTTACTGATGTAAAAATAAATAATCTGTTTGAGTTTAAAATTTATTTGTGGTACGACTCTCAGACAATAAAATTGGTCTAACGGCTAAATATGTAAAGTCGGGACCACATAAGTTTGCAGTTGAGGGAGGAGCCTATTTACCATATGGGTTTGAATGAACAACCAATGAGAACCGTGCGGTGTTGCCAATTCTAATAAAACCAGCTGATTTGAAAATATTGCTCAGTATATTTTATTAGTGCGATGTGGCAACGTTGCACTAGCCTTGTCTTGTGATTGGCTGCCACCAACTGCAAACTTACGTGGTCCCGACTTTATAATGAAATTAAATAATAGTTCACAACCCTCTAGGTAACCTATTGGTTGCTATAGTTACATTGCAATCATGTCCAGGAACCGTTTGATGTGACTCTAGTATGTTGAAACCATGGTAACAGTTGAGTTATCTCAAGGATTGTTGACTTTGAGGTACACAAACCACTAATTCCACAATTCTGAGGGGGTCGTAACAAAAGTAAACCGATAAAAATATAGAACAAAGCTTTCACTAAATGTTTTACTTTAAATAACATTCGCCCAGTATTTGAAAATATTTTTTAAATCAAAACCCGCATCTGTAATTGTAAAGACCACCCGACTTGATCATTTTACAATATCGAATCTTGTTTCCTTTCAAAGAATCGGAAATACAGAGTGAATCTCAAACCTGCTTTTATGTTTGCTCAAAGTATGAAGGAGGCATTCAAGTAGCATAACAAGTTCTTCGAGGACCAAGTTATTTTCTTAGACGGATAGGTTCGATCCATAGTTAATTGAGAACCATCCTGACAGCCCCTCCCCCCCCTCCCACCACGATTAATGCATTTACCCATATTTCTTTCCCTAATTGGACTTCCTTTTGGCAATAAATCCTCAAACTCGATCGCCGCCATGATGGAAATTGCTTGTATTACTCACGTCTTTTAGTTGGAGCTCGGTTATTACTTGAATCGAAATTAGTCACGCATTTTAATGGAATGGTTTTTTTTTTTATTAAACGTTGTACTTGAAATTATCAATCATTTTAGTCTCTGGATTGCTTGTATAAGTGTGGAAATGTTTTTTAATCCAACTATAACGATTTCAAACCCGAAGGTTCGTCGGGATTAAGGTCGACTAAATTTCAGAATTTGTATCCACCCGGAGGGTTTCGTAGAAAATAAAATAACACTGAACACTTTTCAATTACAATTAACGCGGATTCGACACATCAATTCGGGACAAAAACCACCCTTCGGGTGGATACAGCTTTTAAAATTTGGTCGATCTAGATCCCGACTGGACTTAGGGTTCGAAATCAATATCGTTGGATCGAAAACATTAGGATTACTAAGGTAAGACCTCATAATATAAATTATAATTTAGTTTCAGGGGATGAAAATATAGACCCTTAATTATATCATTGACGTTACTATTTACTGACACTTAAGGGGATGTTAATAAAATGTGAGGTATCACCATGTTATTTAAAGTTGCAATTATTTTTAAACCGTAATTTTTACAGAATTGGGGGTTGTACTATTTGCGGATTTGAAAAATCATAAGATGCAAAATTTTAATCAAAATCACTCGGGCCGTTTTTTAAAAATTTGATTTGCCGTTATTTTATCAGTTTTTATGGGAAAATCACCATTAAAAATCAAAATTTAAAAAAAAATCAAAAATCACCTGAAGATATTCCAAGATCCTGGATTATATTCAATGATGGAACACTGTAACAATTCGAAACACACAAGGAAACTATTTGCTGAAATTATTTGCTACTGTAACGAAAGCCATTTAGGTTACTTTAAATCTTTTTTTCGGTACAGTAATTTGCTGGAGGATGTTCATTAACACAAGTTTTGACTGTTTCAGTGCTGACGGTAACTACGAAGTCCGATATAAGTCTAACGTGCTGATTTACCCGAACGGCGAAGTGCTCTGGGTTCCGCCCGCCATATACCAGGTTAGTATAGGAAGTATATTGGTTAAAAACGTTATATTTTAGACTGTTAGCTGTGCTACGGTTACCATGGTTACCATAGCTTCTGACGCACACCGCTGGAAGCGCCATGTAGTTACTTAGTGCGTAGCCATAACTACATGGTACTCCCAACGTTGTGCGCCAGAACCTATGGTAACCGCAGCATAGCTGACGGTATATATTTAATTCCTTTTTGTGCATGACTTAACACAACAAACACTATACTTTTGCATACTTTTTTTGATGGTATAGTCAACACTTCCTCACTAAAAATAACTGTATTCAATAATTTGTTTTACCACAGTTTTGACTGTGTGCTTTTTAAATATAGGGATGAGTTAGGCATGCATCAGAATTGACGTGAAAATGAACAATTTGTTAAGAAACACCTTAAGTTAAACAATACATTTCTCTCATTTAGTTTGTTAAAAAATATTGTCAAATGGGGATGATGATGTTCTTAATTAAGTTTGTAAAGAAGTTGAATTCCCATAATGCATGGCTACAACACGTTTAAGCCTTGTTTAAACTAATCTACAATTTATACAATCTACATTCAATTGATTAGAGTTAGTCGACAATTTTATGGGAGATTTTGTGAGAGCTTGGCCAATATGATAGAAATATGAAATTATTTATGAACACCGATTTGGATCCCTAACATAAGTATGTTTCTACACAAGATACAAAGGTGTCGTATTTACTTATGATTCAGTTTCATGGATTTTCACTCTAAAAATGCATTTATAAACAGATGCAAAACTAAGCACACCTTAATTAATAACACTTTAACACTAATTACTAATCGAAATTAGTACACTACTGGAATATTTTATTTACATTGTGATGAGCGCAGAATTTGGATGACCTGTGTTGCAAAAAAAGTTCCTCCACGCTAATATTTACAACCTCCTTTACAACGATGGGCTTTTATGTTTCTTATTAATTTTTATTTTTTTATGTTTATGGTTTAACGATATATTAACGATATTAGTATAAAGGTAATTCACGTGTTTATAGGAAACAGCCCAACCCCTTATATTGTTACAACTAACGACCTTTGTTTATCATTAATACACCAACAAACAATGGATATACATAATACAAATTTATTTTCAAGTGAATACAGAGACAATACGGTACTCAAAATATTATTGACAAAGGTAAGCGGTCTTCCCTGTACACGAGGATGCCTAACGATATAAGAATGCGGTTAAGGATTGCCAAAGGAACATTCCGGAACTCCCGGTATTTTATGAGCGTAAGCCACATGCCGCCATCTTGGAGATGAATGAACATAGAGGAATCTCCGGGACTTCAAAGGGATCCTTGTTTATGAACCTTATCTGCAACCTTGACGGAAATTAATTCACTCTCCTCCTTAAGTTACAGCTTTGCTTACTCTTTAACTAATAGCTTATTTGGGAAATTCTTTATAAAATTATTGGTTCATCTCACTTAAATTTGAGTTAATAGTTGGTTGAAGTTTAAGAAATGATCTTACAAACGTATTCATGATGCTGATGGCTTCATTTCTATTGAATGTCTGCCAATAGTGAAATTTCAGGCTATTAAAATTTACGTACATAAAATAAGGGATGATTTACTGAGTTAATTCAACTCAAGGTATTAATTAGGTTTTTGTAAAATCCTTACGGCACCAATATACAGGGTTAGTAAAAAGTCTGGAGACCCCCAGTTAATTTTTTTTAACGGCCCGTACTAGAAAAACTTAACTAGGCACACCTTTATGGCATGTTATGAAGTACTTTTTGGGCATAACCGCCACTTGGTGTACACCAAGTACACCACTCAAAAATCAAAACTCAAAAATTTCAAATGGTAAGACTTATCGAGTGACCCCTCATTTTGAAGGTCATGGTAAAAGAAAACCAACAACGCTAACTAGAGGTCTCCATCTCAATCCAGTAAAAAATGGCAGCCAATTGAAATTCTCAGAAGTTAAATTTAACTTGCAGCTTTCCAATTCTGGAGATCCCCTGTAAATTTTGTAATGGCTCACACTAAGAAAACTAAACTCTAACACACCTTTATAGCATGTTATGAAGTACTTTTTAAGCCTAATTGCTACTTGGTTCCCAACCCCAAAATGGGGGTTTTGAGGAAAACTCAAAATTTTAGATGAATTCTGATTTCTAAAGATTTCAATCAGCTGCAATTTTTTACTGGATTGAGATAGAGATCTTTAGTTTGCGTTGCAGTGTTTTCATTTTATCACGACCTTCAAAATGAGGGGTTACTCGATGGGTCTTACTTATCGTTTGACATTTTTGAGTTTCCCCCAAAATCCCCCATTTTGGGGATGTGCACCAAATGGCGGTTATGCCCAAAAAGTACTTCATAACATGCAATAAAGGTGTGCAGAGTTTAGTTTTTCTAGTGTGAGCCGTTCCAAAATTTACAGGGGGTCTCCAGACTTGGAAAGCTGTAAGTTAAATTTTGCTTCTGAGAATTTCAATTGGCTGCCATTTTTTACTGGATTAAGATAGAGACCTCTAGATGTACACCAAGTGGCGGTTATGCCCAAAAAGTACTTCATAACAATGCAATAAAGGTGTGCCGAGTTTAGTTTTTCTAGTGTGGGCCGTTAAAAAATTAACAGGTGGTGTCTAGACTTTTTACTAACCATGTTCAAATATATTTTAAATTCAATAAAGGAGATGGATGACTTCTGAAATATTCTAGACTTTAATTCTAGGCTATATTCAAGAGGGTTAATATAGTTTTTAAAAAATATGTTTAAATCCTATAGCTTAGAACTTCCTACAAGACAGTAAAGTTGGGCGCCTGAAATAGTAACAAAAATTGGTTTCTCTTACTTGTACTAAAAGTCTTTGAACAAGTTCTAGTAAATATAGTTTAACTGTAGATATTACAAATACTCGTTCTGTTGCAGAGTTCATGTACGATAGACGTAACTTACTTCCCGTTCGACCAGCAAACATGCATCATGAAGTTTGGTTCATGGACGTTCAACGGTGACCAAGTGTCCTTAGCTCTGTACAATAACAAGAACTTTGTGGATCTGTCAGACTACTGGAAGTCGGGTACCTGGGACATCATCGAGGTGCCGGCGTACCTCAACATCTACGAGGGGCCGCATCCCACTGAGACCGACATCACCTTCTACATCATCATCCGTCGCAAAACTCTCTTCTACACGGTTAACTTGATCCTGCCCACGGTCCTCATCTCGTTCCTGTGCGTGCTCGTGTTTTACCTGCCCGCTGAGGCAGGGGAGAAGGTCACACTTGGTATCAGTATCCTCCTCTCACTCGTTGTGTTCCTCCTCCTCGTCTCCAAGATTCTCCCGCCCACGTCGCTCGTGCTGCCCCTCATAGCCAAGTACTTGCTGTTCACCTTCATCATGAACACCGTCAGTATTTTAGTCACGGTTATTATAATCAATTGGAACTTCCGAGGTCCCAGGACGCATCGTATGCCGCCCTGGATCCGTGCGGTCTTCCTCTACTACCTTCCCATCGTCCTGCTCATGAAGCGGCCCAAGAAGACGAGGCTGCGTTGGATGATGGAGATGCCCGGCATGTCCGCGCCTCCGCACCCCTCGTACGGCAGTCCGGCCGAGCTGCCAAAGCATCTGCCCCCCTCGGCGCCGGGCAAGAGCAAAATGGAGGTGATGGAGCTGTCCGACCTCCATCACCCAAACTGTAAGATCAATCGCAAGGCAAGCGCCGAGCGGAGAGAGAGCGAGAGTTCGGACTCGCTGCTGCTGTCTCCTGAGGCGTCCAAGGCGACTGAGGCTGTTGAGTTCATTGCAGAACATCTACGAAACGAGGATCAGTATATACAGGTAGGTTCATTACTTATAACCATAACTATAAACACGATAAATCAGTAGATCGTTCATAGTGCATTCCTTAGTGTTGAAGAATTTGTTGTATGTCAGGATCATTGTTTTTGGATGGTTGCGATGCTGGCTATCCATCAAAAATTGATTGATTGATTCTGATAAAAGTATTTTATGTTTTTATGGCTGAAGATTGAACCAAAACAAAGTTGTTGAGTTCATAAATGTTTCTGGCTAAGTCATTAGTTGGTCTTAATCAGTAATGGATCTACCAAGGATCAATATTCTCTAATGCGTACTTTGAACAGCAGCCCTTCGTTAAAATTTGATTCACATAAATAGGTAATCAGAGAACTTCTGTACTTGATACAGACGTTATTTTGAAAACAATCAATATTATTGAATAAAATTTATATCATGGGGTTTATAATTTTTCCCACTAACATCATGATTCATACAGTCCTGTACCCTAACAATAATAAGTCAAGATGACATCATTTCTTCTCAGACAAAACAATTTCAAATCCCTCTAAAAGACAAATGAAAATTACGGTACATCTGTGTGACCAAAGGTGTAAACCATTCAATGAAGACCATTGCCCAAACAGCAATAATAGCTTCTTACAAAAAATAATATCTCTTGTACAATTTACTCTTATATTAGTATTACAACTCCTGGGGGGAACTAAATGGAAACGTAGATGTAGAATGAGCGCCTGATGGCCATAACAGACTGATCCGCCTACAAGAAGCGCAACTGTTGTCCAATATGCGCCCAGATGTCGCCGCGACAACACACATCTTTTATTCATTATCAACTCTTCATATCTGCCATTCTCTGAATTTCGTTGACACTTTCATAACAGAACAAAAAGATAAGACAGTTGATTGATAGCATTAAAGGACATTGATGCTTGTGGTTTATTCTTAACACTTTTTTTATTGCTTTTACATTTGAGGGCTGCAAAACTTATGCTAATTGATAAATTATTTTATCACACTCGGTATTGTTCTCATTCATTATTACTTTTTAAACATTGAAGTGTTTCTTGGGTGGTAAGGTTTTAAAGCATTTTCTAAGGTATTAAAACAATGACAGCTTATCTGAACATCCAATTAAAAGAATCTTTGACAATACGGTACTCAAACAGATAAAGCTTTAATATTCAAAATTCAATGAATGATATTCCTGGATACACAAATTATTCTATTTATTGTTTTGGATGATACAAACTTCTAACTTAATAAAAAATCTTGAAATATATTTTGAGAATTAATTTCTAAACATCTCTCCAGTGAATTGATTTTTGAATTAAGGACAAGGTAAATTCGAAGAAAACCAGCTAGATATCGGAATCGTACCTCTTGAATTGAGCATTAGACTATATTACTGCATTGACAATTTCAAAAGGAATTGGTGATTGTCTGCAGCTGTAACTAGTTATTCCCCATACCTGATGTTCCTAATTTGATCGCAGATGTATGATGACTGGAAATACATAGCTATGGTGATAGATCGGCTGCAGTTGCGACTAGTTATTTTGTATACTTAATGTTTCTGGTTTGCTTCCAGATCAGGGAAGACTGGAAGTACGTAGCTATGGTGATAGATCGGCTGCAGTTGCCACTAGTTATTTTGTATACTTAATGTCTCTGGTTTGCTTCCAGATCCGGGAAGACTGGAAGTACGTAGCGATGGTGATAGGTCGGCTGCAGTTGCAACTAGTTATTTTGTATACTTAATGTCTCTGGTTTGCTTCCAGATCTGGGAAGACTGGAAGTGCGTAGCGATGGTGATAGGTCGGCTGCAGTTGCGACTAGTTATTTTGTATACTTAATGTCTCTGGTTTGCTTCCAGATCCGGGAAGACTGGAAGTACGTAGCCATGGTGATATATCGGCTGCAGTTGCGACTAGTTATTTTCTATACTTAATGTTTCTGGTTTGCTTCCAGATCCGGGAAGACTGGAAGTACGTAGCCATGGTGATATATCGGCTGCAGTTGCGACTAGTTATTTTCTATACTTAATGTCTCTGGTTTGCTTCCAGATCCGGGAAGACTGGAAGTGCGTAGCGATGGTGATAGATCGGCTGCAGTTGCGACTAGTTATTTTCTATACTTAATGTTTCTGGTTTGCTTCCAGATCCGGGAAGACTGGAAGTACGTAGCGATGGTGATAGATCGGCTGCAGTTGCGACTAGTTATTTTCTATACTTAATGTCTCTGGTTTGCTTCCAGATCCGGGAAGACTGGAAGTACGTAGCCATGGTGATAGATCGGCTGCAGTTGTACATTTTCTTCATAGTGACGACCGCTGGTACTGTGGGAATTCTCATGGACGCACCACACATATTCGAATATGTGGATCAAGACAAAATAATCGAGATCTACCGTGGTAAATGACTTGCCGCCTGTTACCGTGATACTAATAGGATACTGTACGTAAAAAACAATAATTTAAAAGTATTGACATTGTTTTCTTATAAATATTACAATTATATTATAATTGAAAGTTGTGTATAAATTGAAAAATGTTGTTATTGGCCTCTTCGTGGGTTTTATCTGCACGTAGGCGAGCGAAGACTAGAGTATTGCTTTGGGTCACAGAAATCAACTCCTCCTCTTGATCATAATGAATCAAATATTTCATCGGTTAATAAATCTAAATTAGTTTAAAGTAACCAGGATTCTAATATAAAATAGTGTGTAGTGACTCAATTTAGATTTACCAGTCATTTGTGTTAGATAAATCATAAGTAACACAAATCTTTACAAAATCAAGTTCTAAACAACCATTTAAATCAACAAGTAACATATAAATGAAACAATCGCCAACAAATTTCCCTAAACCGTATTTTAGCTTGGTTTATCATATTTGTCTATTTATAAAGCCATATGAATACCGGATAATTTCATTAAATCGATTCAAACAAGATTTGAACCCTCGTGTGGCCTTACTTTAAACTTAACTTGTACGAATAAATTTTTGTACCTAAAGATGTGATTGGAGGCGAATCCTGTGACCCGACAATACCTAGCAGCCTGCCAATGCTCAGTATGCTTGAGAACAATATGCTTTAAACACTGTGGACATTTTAAGTTCCACTTTTAACGTACAAGTCCACTAATCAGACAGTAGCGACTAGGGGGGAAGTGTTGGGGGAAGGGGGGGTTAAAACTATTATGAGCTCCTTCCACACTTTAATTTGACTTGAAGTACTAAATTGTAACTTGGTTTAACCTTTCGTATATTCCACGACAATAACACCCATGATTTAGTGTTGCTCAACTAACTACCGGTACCGGTACCACAAACATAAAATTTGATGATTTTAATTATTTCCGTTCTGTGTTTTCATGACTTTCAGAAATCTTTCTTAAATACATTATTTCCTTTCACTATTAGTTAAATGAACAAAATACCCATTGGAAAAGAAACCATTATCGTTTTTTTCCTAGGACTCTTTGAACTAAAGTTTTTCCTCAAAATTTCAACATTCGATGGTCAAGACATGTTGTTCTTGGAAATGCAAATCAAACTTCTTCCGACTGTGGCTCTCATATGCATATTGTTCTCGGGTAACTCACATAAAATATGCATTTTAATGTTGTGTTGCTCGGTACTAGTCCATTATCTGAACGTAGTTTAGAAAACAAGCCTTTCAACATCTACTGGACATCTCATTACGAGATGTCTGGCGATGTACAGGCGTCGTGTGCTCAACATTATGTATCTGTAGAGACTCTTATTTTATTAAAATATTAATTATATATAATAAATCGATAAACATAATGTAATAAACAAGGGGGATGCCCTGAGAACGTTCCATCTACGGGTGTAGGTCACTCCGATCACAGAAGCTCAACAACTCGATTTCTATTCGCAATAACATTAAACCGTAACAAATTTCTTTGTGGATATTGTGTGAAATTTATTTTCTACGAGAATGATTTGTTATTACATGTTACTTAATATTTAAGAGTCTTAATATCATAGTAGGAGTCGATGTGAACGATGTACAGAAAAAGCTATTGTTTTAGGTATTACGAAATGAAATTTTATACAGACCATCGATTTGTAAAATAAGTATATCCTTAGAAACTAAGCAATACAGCTTTCACGTTTTGAAGTGTGACACTTCTACAATCAAATTTATATTTGTTAGTTAAGTTTCTTCGTGCATAATGTTAATCTTACAAATTGCCGGATCGTTTAAGTGGACTAAGAAGAAATCCTTCCTTGACAAAATCTGTTTGTACAATGTTTAGGGTATTTCAAAGATTCACTACATTTTTTGCTTTTAACCGATTTCAATACATTTGAGGTAGTATCATATAATAATTCATACCACAGATTGTTCTGAAACTTGTATTTTTATCAAATATTATGCAGTGTGTTTATACTACGAGGAACATAGAATACATTTTAGGGGTAAAATGGTCTTTATGGATCAAGATAAAAATTAAGAAGATTATAGATTTCACAAATTCAATGTAATTTTAAAATTTTCTGAATAACTCATGTAAAGAGATAAGTGCTTGTGAAAATGTATTTACGTTTTAAAATGTTTGTAATCGTTAAATTTAAATTATTCATTCCAACCTTCGACTCACTTTTGTTGAATACATTTTAATAATCACCCAAATAATCATAGTTGTGCAGGTTTTGTCTTTGCATTTCATCAGGTAACTAAACAGTGTAGTCATTGAAACCTTTTTATGTAAATGGTAAACTTACCATAGAGATTTAATTTAATTAAGTTTAGAATAATTGTAGTCTAAAGTAATCATTTACTACAATTGTTATTTAGAATTAAACATCACTAAATATTTTTACGGTTAAAATACAGTTTTTTTATGAACATTTTCAAATTCACACTACTCTTTTATATCAAAGACATTCTCATCATCTAATCTTTTTAATTAGCTTAAATTAACAGTAGCACTGCTTTTTAAACTAACTTTTTATATTAATTGTTATCTATCTTCCCAATGAAAATACCATACCACTACCAGTTAGCTACCTTTGTGTTAGCATACCCAAATATTACATCTATTGTTCTCTAAAGCAGTTGGCTACATTTGAGTTAGCATACCCAAATATTACATCTTTTGTATTATAAAACAGTTTGCTACATTTAGGTTAGCTTACCCAAATATACATCTATTTTAATCTAAAGAAGAGGTGGTTTCTGTGGTTTTGGTTCCGGGTGAGTGCAAAAACTACTGAACTGACTGAGCTGAAACTTGATAGAAATGAAGATCATGTTGGAATACCAACACATCATATCCTGTATTTTCATGTTGTTGAAATTCAGTCAGTGTGTGATCCATATAAACATAACCCTTTTTAACTTGAGCTTTCGGAAGTAAGGACAGATCTATGATATATTCTACACAACTTCATCTGGATAGGTTCAGTAGTTTTTGCCTTTAACAATCTCACAGAAACATTTTCTTCTTTATGATATAATAGAGACTATTAAGTGAGTCAAATATGACTTAATGAATCCTATCAGGCCAGGAAAATTGTATTCAGGGATTCATTAAAATAATCTAAATGTACATGAAATGGGTGTTAATTTTGATCTCAAATTCTGTATTGTTATCAGCAAGCTTCTCCTTCCATTACCCTGAACTAAATAAGAAATATAAAATGATAAAATGTACCATAAATTACAGATTTTGTGTGTGTTACTTTAGTGACTAATGATATACTATATGTTTTAACTTGTAAATAATATTTACAGGAAAGTTATGTATAGATGCTGAACCCGCTTAATGATTTATTAGTAACCAAAAGACACCGGTAAATGTTAACTAATAAGTACAGTAAGAGAAATATCTACGGGTAGTGAAATATGGGAGATGTAAAATAGCTGCGGAACGATTCATTGTTAGTTTCTATTTGAGTTGGGTAGCACGTTTATTTTATTTCTTAGACAATCTATGCAAAGACTTAATAACTAACGAACTATGTTTCGCCGTTGTGAGATGTTTTGGATTCCCGATGGATGACTGTATGAGTGAATGAATGAAACTATTTTGGATGCATATACTGCCTCAATATGTTAAGACTATGTTAAAAGTGAAACCTGTACATTACAAATTGTGTATAAAACTATATATATTATATATAAGACTTGAGTACAATATAAGGAAGGATTAAAGATCGGTAGATATATTCGATTTGTTAATAACTATGTATTTTATTATTTGAATGTGAAAATTACATTTTGTTGGTTATGGTTACGTACCATATTGGTGTTTCAAACTCCTTGACGTCATAATCAAAGAACTGTATTATAAGGGTTGAACACTTCATTTTTACATAAGTTCTAATGATGTTGAAACACACTCAAACTGTTTGGTGTAGTAATTTTGCTGAGATTTTTTTGTAGGTTTTGGTGAGGAAGAGAGTTTCAGTCATAAAAAGTTGTTAACAAGTTCAGAATCCCCAGAAAGTTCATATACATATTGCAAATACAAACGCACAAATATACTTCGTTTATGTTTAAACCATAGAAAGCCCCACCTGTTTTGCCTGTATAGAAAAACTATTTGAATTTTTCAAGGTTCTACAGCTGTTTCTTACATAATCTAACTAAAACACTCAGGTCCAAAAAAAAAAAAATCATGTAACCATCCGTTTATGGTTGATAAAGAATTAAAAACTGAAAAACAAAATCAATTGGATATTCTAGTATAATTCGAGATAGAAAAATTTGTTTACCCAAAGGCAGAGTTAGAACATTATTGAAAAAAAAGGGCACCAATAACTTTTATTCTAGATTAATTTAGAAGGAAATTAATCCACACCTAATTTTACTTTGCCACTTTAGTTCATTTGCTATGCTTTACCAAAAAAAAAATCAAATTTGTAATGTAAAGAATCAAATTAAAAAAAAATAAGTTCCTTAGGTCAATGCAAATTAAGAAACTTGAGTTTTGAAACACACTTCTACAACTATGATCTACAGCTTATACGTACTATTTCTTTACGTCGTGGATGAAGAGAGTAATCGGAGTATTGAAAGTATCGGGAAGTATCGCCGAAGTTGGCTAAATGTTTCCCTATTGCATTGTGGTGTCATTTAGTGTCTCCTTGCTTGTGAACTCCTTCTTTGTAAATAACCACCGGCAAAGACAAAACATAACTGCAGGAAAGAGTTGTTCGAAAATGTTCATTTGAATGTCAAACCACATCACTTGCGATATGAGTGTATCATTTGAACAATCATTTTACTAAAACTACATTTGTCAGGAAAAATCTCGTTAAATGATGTCACGTTGTACGCAATGTTTTCTAAATGGCCATTTTCGCTCACATTTGTAAAAATAAATATTCCTGCCATACGACATCAATAATGAGACTCACGATGCCAAACTCGACCGAAACACTAATTTATTTTATATACCGTAAACAAAACTTTGTTCTCGTATGTTGCAAAATCTATCACCACATTTATACTATAATACAATAAAAATAGTTAAACCTAACTTTTTAAACCAAGTGATTGTCAATAATATACTAAATCGTTTAAATTTGTATGTAATAAAATAAATGTAATGTTAAACCACGGTGGTGTTTTATTTAAGGAAACAATCCTGCACTTTCCTCTAAATATAATTTATGTGTATTAAAAAAGTAGAGTCAGTACACACTTCTTGGAGGGTTTCAGATGTAAAATTTAACAAAATGTAATAAATACGACTGAAAATTAACATCATAAAAATCTAATTCAATCTAATAATCAAACTAATACTGAATCTTTCAACTTTCTAAATCATCTATAACAGTTATGTTAAAGCTTTATAGAACAAAACTCACTTCTTGCGATAATTTCTTTAAAAAGTAAACATATCCTTGGAGTTCTTTGTATCTGTAAAAAATCACCCTCATATGAATTAACAAACTTTTAAAATTAGAAATATAAATAATAACTTTAATCATTATTACAAGTTTAAAAAAATTAAATAAAAAAAAATTTTGTATAAAAACGTACCAATACTGTGGATCATGTGTTTGTGACACCCGTTTTATTCCAATCCAACATTTTGCACCTAAACCATACTATAGTTCGGCCGCTTAGAAAGCAACCTCCTCCAGCATTGGTTTAGCATTAGCGCGCAGGTCGTTTTCTAAGCGGCCAAACTATAGTAAACAGGCACAAACAACATGAGAAACTACCAGGACACCTTTATCGACTGCTGAGACGGAGCAACGAGGAGAAATATGTAAAGAAAGTCAACCACATGATCAATACAGCTCCATCCTCATGGTTTATGATAGAATTGGTCATCTTAGACTGGGAACTAAGGATTTTTAAAGTAAACCTAGACGTTTTTGTAAGAGCCGGCTACAAACTACAAACTACTATTCAACTGAATTCAGCTGAATTAAACTGAATTACTATTCAACTACTATTCAGTTGAATAGTAGTTCGCCCCGAAGATGGATAGCTGTTACGCATCCGAAACGTCGGCCTCTAGTTTAACTTATTCAACGACGGTCAACACCCGAAGACCAAGATTTGACAATCTGCAGTGACCGTGGAAGCTTATCATCTAGATTGAGTTGACAACAGCTGATTTTTACTCCCTAGGGGCTAAAAACTTTGGACCCTCAACGCATACATTAAAAACAGCAGTTTTTGCTGCAGCATGACAAAAATTAGTTAAACATATCACTACCCAAATAATTCAATGAGCTGAGTTTTTAAAGAGAAAATACTGTTCAATCTTTTGGAAACAGCTTGGAGACAAAAAAAAATGTTATTCCAGGAAGTTCAACATAGGTCAAGAAAGTATTTTCTTGCCAGTGTTTGTTTTTTTCTTATTTGAAATGCAAACTAACACTTTCGCAAAAGTATACAGGGTGTCCCACAAAGAGGTATAGACATTTGATTCTATATTGCTAGCCTGTTTAAATGCATCAACAGCTTTGAAAGATTACACAATTTATAAAGGAGAATTTTAAAATATTTTATCAAAATTTCAGCTTCCTGACATAAAATTTGTAAAAAAAGAAATGGTGGCGTATTAAGAATGTTACTGATTTGTTTCCTATAGAATTACTTTCTTGGGTTTTAAGCAATGTAACATTAAAAGTCTATTCTCAATCTCCGGTTCCAGTAAAACAACACTAGAGTAGGTTAGGTCATGTTTTTATGGCTCAAATAATATTCTTCAATAAAATCGATGTTCAACAATGTGTTCAAAGAGTCGACACTGCAATTCAGGAAACAAATCAGGTTTTAAGTTAAGAAAGTAATAGTAATAATATTGGGAAAATTTTCAATATACACCATTTTGTTTCTAAAAACGTTAGGAAGCTGAAATTTTTACAAAATATTTTCAGAACCTGCTTTACAAATTATATAACAGTTTCAAAGCTGATAATCCATAAATGGACTGGTAATAGAAAAAAGTATAAAACTCTGTTGGACATCCTCAGTGGAGTAGTGCTTCCCACACTGCTTTTTCCAAAGAGCCTATCTGGAAGCAATCTGTATTTTCTGTAGCAATGATGAGTGTTACTGCACTGGAAGATTTACGACACCATGGACTTGAACACCCTGTATATCAGCCAGTTACACATGAAAACTGGCTATCTCAAGCTCTTAAAGAGACAACTGAATTTTTTTCTCAAGGTGATAAGTTTTCCTCCAAAGAGTCTATATAGAATGGAACAGAATTTGTCCGTCATCCAACCTTTTACATCGAGGGCTTACTTTACACTTAGGTAACCAACCTAAAAAAAAGGTAACCGGTAAAAGGTAAAAAAGGTAACCACCCTTTTTGACGCTGGAATGGAGAAACAGAAAATGGCTTCAACATTTAACTAATAAAGCATTGTCAAAAGTGTACATTGGTGTTTCAGTTCTAAGCTGTTTAACATTTTTACAATCTTCTGTCTGGATTAAGTAGAATCTGTCTGCTATTAAGATTAGCGATAAACAGATTATTGTGGTTTCACTGTACCTATACAAGTAGGAAGTTGCTGTGCTGGAATGAAATATCAACTCAAACCATTTCCAGGTGAAAATGCTGTCAGTAACATTAAATATAAAATAGATATAGATAAAAATAGATATAGATATAGATAGAAATAGATATAGATTAGTAATAGATTGTATAAAATTGGTTAAAATAATTTTTGGGTTTTAAGTACTTTCCTTTTAAAGCTTTGCTTATTAATATTGATTTATGAATACAGGGTGATTCAGCAAAACATGTTTGTATCAAAAACACTTTATTGAAACACTACAGAAAAATATACTTAGGTAAAAACATTTTACAAACTTGATTGGGTGGTCAGTTAACAGTAAAATATACCACCCGTAATGATTTAACAGTCCAATGTAAGCCTAACACAATTTTATGACAGTATTTTATTTTATCCGACCAAGGTAGAAAATAACTCTTATAGTTTCTTGGCGTGCGTATAGTGTAAAATCTGTCAGAGACTCTTTCCCAGTCATCAAGTCTGCTATCCTAGCAAAAATCCTTAAAATCTAGTTCCAATGGCTATGTTACATTCTTCATACAGCGTCATAAACTTAACGATGACTACAGTTTAATGTGTCTCAAATATTTTTTTTACTTTTGGATTTAATTTTTCCATCTTTAATCTATCAGCTTGGATAAATCTCCTCTTTGAATACTTGTTTAGACGCAGGCAACAATCACAGGCTGTTTATATTGAGGGAAACACTTGCGGAGCTGGAGAATGTTCATCCTTCCTTGGAGTGGAGAAAGTCTTGGGCCCTCCTTCAGCAATCCTACACTTCATCAACACCTCCACTTGGTAGGACGCACCAATGCCAATCTCTGAAAAGAGTATGAATTATTACTAAATTCTTTTAGCGAATTTCCCATATAGGGAATAAGCTATTACCGTAGTATTCATGAAACGCCATCCGTTCATATATTATAATTCATATATATAAATATAAACATACAATATTTCTTCTACACTCTTCTTCGCTTCTTATACATGCTTTCTTTCATACAGGACACCATCTATAAAAGGCAAAGCCCTCACTGACTGACAGACTCACTCACTCATCACTAATTCTCCCACTTCCCATTTACCTAGGAGGCTGAAATTCGGTACACCGATTCTTTAGGCATTAAATAGGAAAACTAAGTAGTTTTTATTCTGATCGGGCTTTCGGGCTCCGCCCCAGTGGCTCTGGAGTTTCCCATGTTAACCTTATGAGTACTCATATTTAAATGTAATTAAAGAATCTTAACAGCTGTTTCAATTAAACAAGTTGGTTCTGTTCTATGATGTTCAATAGCATTAAATTTACAAGGATTACCAACAGGGTGCAGCACTATTATTTTTTTAAATTTATGACATAGCTAATTTGCAACCTAAAGGTGAGTGAGCGTAGCGAATGAACTTCAACCAGGACGTGATTGAGCCATGTGAACGAACTCATCTTAAAAATTAAGAAGTTAAACGGGGCAAAGCCCGCGGGTACAGCTAGTATATATATATATATAAAAGGCAAAGCCCTCACTGACTCACTCACCCATCACTAATTCTCTTACTTCCCATTTACCTAGGGAGGCTGAAATTTGGTACACTGATTCTTTAGGTATTAAATAGGAAAACTAAGTTGTTTTTATCCCGATCGGACTCTCGGGCTTCGTCCCAGTGGCTCTGGAGTTTCCCATGTTAACCTTATGAGTACTCATATTGAAATGGAATTAATGAATCTTAACAGCTGTTTCAATTAAACAAGTTGGTTCTGTTCTATGATGTTCAATAGCATTAAAGTTACATGAATTCCCAACAGGGTGCAGTATTATTTTTTTTTTTTATTTATGACAACAGCCAATTTGCAACCAAAAGGTGAGTGAGCGTAGCGAACGAGCTCCATCTTAAAGGTGAGTGAGCGTAGCGAACAAACTTCAACCAGGACGTGATTGAGCCATGCGAACGAGCTCACTTATGAAGTTAAACGGGGCAAAGCCCGCGGGTACAGCTAGTATATATATATAAGTAGATAGTAATGTACCGATCCTAGACCAAAAAGGGTGAATTCAGAAAATCTATGTAAAATCTATGTTCTTTAACACAAATCATGTTATGATTCGTGTTCGTGTTAACATGAACACAAATCCAGTAGCGGCTAGCCCATAAGGACTCTCGGACGCCGCCCTCCCAACAATACAGAAATCAATATTTTTTTTATTTATGTAATAAAAAAATAATATGTCGTAATTAAAATTAAATTACAATTATTTACGACTACTTAATCAATATGATAATAATATGAAATGAAATAGTTTTAAATTTTGAATCCAGTAATGACTGTTTTGCGATAGTCGCTTTCATAATGTGGATTGCGGACGGCGGCAACCTCCGTCCCAAACTCAATGCATGTAGTGTTATGGTAGAAACACCTAACAGCGCTGAGGGTGCCGTGACGTCATTCCAATGCTTTACAATAGGGACTCTGGGGCAGAGTCCAAAGCTGCGCGCGCATCCATAAATCAGGGCAGCCACCCTAAACTGGATAATTCTGCATCACACACGATTAGGATAGGAAGAACCATGTTGGCAGCGCTGGAGCCATCATCCACACTGTCACTACCATAAACATAAACTAACCTCACTTCTTTCCATGTCCATGACCACAGTTCAGTTATAGTTTAGTGCCAAACGACCTGTTGTTTTGTGATCAATAGTGTTTAGTGATAGTGATGGAGGCCTAAGGAAGGCAGCGGTAGTTTTTTGAAGATTGAAAGAGCTAAGTAGAAATTATTAATAGTTATACTTAATTGATTGAGTTAGTTAGTTGGTATTTTTGAGTCAATAAGTTACGTCTGTAGTTTTAGTATAGGCTAACCTAATCAACCCGAAAACGAAGTAAACTAACCATAGGTAAAGTGACTCGGACAACTTTAGTTATAGTTACTTATTATTAGTCTTAATAAGTTATTACGGGTAAATTTGCCGTGGGTTGAAGGCCTAAATCTAAATAATAATGGACGGCGGCATTTCGTTGTCGTCGACGGCTAACGTCACTAATGAAGTTAGCCTGATTATCAATGAAGGGATCAAAAATATTGACCACAGAATTTCTTTGAAAAAATTAGGACCTCCTAGACCTTTCATGAACATAAACCAAATTCAAAACAGTTCAAAGAATAAGAATAGCTTCACACGAAAATTTTCGCCACATATGTACAATCATGCCGATTGGCTATGTGGCTGTTCAATTAAAAATTCATTTTTCTGCTACACTTGTTTGGTCATGGGGGTTCAAGATAGAGCATGGACTGTAGACGGGATTTCAGACCTTAAACATCTACTGGAAAAAGTAAAAAAACACAAAACAAGTGAAAAGCACATAAATGCGTCAATAGAATATGCTGTTTTAGGTAAAGTTGATATTAGATGCCAATTGGACAATGCATATAGGTTAAAAATACAAAAACAAAATGAAGATGTTTCGAAAAATCGATACATTCTAAGTAAGCTAATTGATGCAATTAAATTTTGTGGAGCGTTTGAATTAGCATTACGAGGACATGATGAACGCGAAAATTCAAAAAATCCTGGCATATTTCGTGGTTTGGTTAACCTTATGGCGGAGCTGGATGTAACATTGCAACAGCACATAAATCAAACAAATAACCGAGTGTTTTTGGGTCTGTCTAAAACCATACAGAACGAGTTATTGGACTCAATATATTACGTTTGTCTGCAAATGATTCGTGACGAATTGACACAAACCGACTATGTAGCTATTGAAGCCGACGAAACAACAGACTGTGCCACTTTATCCCAACTAGTATTTGTTATTAGGTACGAGCTGAATGGCACGATTCACGAGCGATTTATCACTTTTATTAGACCAAAAGGCCATGATGCAGAATCAGTTAGCGAAACAATTTTTGAAGTATTAGAGCAATTAAACCTCGACAAAACTCCTGATAAAGTCATTGCCCAGAGCTACGATGGGGCTTCCGTAATGAGTGGCCAACACACGGGAGTACAAGCGCGTGTAAAATCTAAATATAAGAATGCAAATTTTGTCCACTGTTACGCACATCAATTAAACTTAATCATTGAACGCAGTGCTACACAAAATAAGCAGGTTAAGATATTCTTCAGTAATATCGAGGGGTTTTCATCATTCTTTTCCCAGTCAACAAAGAGAACTGCAGTTCTCGATGAGATAGTAAAACGTCGTATTCCAAAAAGCTCAGGTACTCGGTGGAATTTTAAATCCAGAATTGTAAGCACAATTTTTAATTATCAAAGAGAGTTGGAGGAATGTTTAAGTTACATACTCGACGATGACACCAATGACTATGCCACAATAAATAAAGCTGTTGGCCTAAGAAGTATTCTAAAAGACGAAGACTTTATTTTCTGGCTGGACTTTTTCAATCAAATACTGCCCCACAGTGACATTCTGTACAACCAACTGCAGCAAACAACAATTGATTGCGTCAAGGCGTTTAAGTTTGTAGGCGATTTCAAAACTGTGGTAGATCGCGTAAGAAACTCGACCATGTTAGATCAACCGAGAGATAGTGAACCCGAATCGAGCAAAAAGCGGAGAAGATACGACGATCAAAAACGCGTTGTCGCAAAGGAAGTGTGTGACATAATTACGTCGGGAATTGATGACCGTTTTACGTTTGTAAATCATTTGTCCGCGGCAAAACTGTTTCAGCCAAGTTTGTTTGGGGAGTTTAAAACCAAGTTTCCCGAAAAAGAGTTACACGCTGCTGCGGAACTATTTAGCCTAAATAAAACTGAATTGAAACAGGAGTTAAATGTTATTTACAATAGGGATGATTTTTCAACGGCCACAGGGTCATTAAGACTACTCAACTTTGTCTATGACAACAACCTCAAAGATGTGCTTCCAGAGTCAATCAAACTTTTAAAAATCATAAGCACAATACCTATGACTACTTCGGAAAGTGAACGTTGTTTCTCTACTTTGAAACGAATTAAAACGTTTACCAGGAGTACCATGAAACAAGACAGACTAAGTGCGCTTGCTATGTGTTCTATCGAAAAAAAGCTGTTGTCAACTTTAAACTTCAACGAAAAAGTAATAGATCACTTCGCCGGGCAGAAAGAAAGGAGGATGGATTTCACATTCAAACAGTACAATTAAAGTTAGGCCTTATCCTCATGGTATGGTTTTCTACTCATATTACCGTGGATGTTTTAATATAAAATACAATTAGTCAAGCCTTACCCTCATGGTTTGGTTTTCTATTCGTTATTGCCATGGGTGTTTAAATTATACAATTCAATCATTGTCAGGCCTTACCGTTTGGTTATCTACTCATTATTGCCGTGGATTTTTTACTATTAAATTATCAATTGTTAGTTATATTTTCAATACAGTGTAGTCCCGTTTTACAAGGCCGTAGGCAGGGAGGGGGGTTAGAGAGTCAAACCCCTCCCCCAAAATTCCGAAATTGAGCAGTACAAATTAAAACTAGGTTTAAAAAGTTGAATTATGAAATAGAAACCACAATAGAGGATTAATTGTTATGTTTTGCAATATCTATTCATATTTAATATAGGCCTAGTTCTATTGGGATAATAAATCTGATCTATTAAATAAATTGGTAAAAACTATTTAAAAAATATACTTTACTTTATTCTACTTATGTCTATTTGCTCATGCATGACAAACAACAGGTGAAATGGGAGTTTTTGGACTATTATTGGACACAGTTTTAGGCGTTAAAATTGCTTTAAAAAGTCACCAAACGGCTTTAAAATTTTAAAAATTTTTCCGGGGGAGGACCCCCGGACCCCCCTCTTATGTTGGGGGCTATGCAGATTCAGATTTTACAAGCAAAAAAGTCAAAAATGTAGAATAAACTTTTTTCCATTTTGGCTTAATTTTGCCGTAATCCGCCACTTTGTATATTTAAAAAAATAATTAATATCTCAAAAGCCCTTGGGGCAAACTCAAAAGTTTTAAATGTTAAGCCCTATCGAGTGACCCCTTATTTTGAAGGTCCTGATAAAAGAAAGCTTACAACTGAAACTAGAGGTCTCTATCTCAATTCAGTAAAAAAGGGAAGCACTCGATGTGTCTTCCCATTTGAAGTTTTTGAGTTTCCCACAAAATCCCCCATTTTGGAAAAATACATCAAGTGGCGGTTTTGCCCAAAAAGTACTTCATAACATGCCATTAAGGTGTGCCGAGTTTAGTTTTTCTAGTATGGGCCGTTAAAAAATTAACAGGAGGTCTCCAGACATTTTACTAACCCATGTAATACGTATATATGAATTTCAACGGATGGTGTTTTTGGTCTCTAGGGACCTCAAAACGAAAAAGTAAATCGGTCCCGGGTCCAGGTCTTACCATGAGTACTACGGTAATAGCTTATTCCCTATAGGGGAAATTCGCTTGAAACATTTTATAGCCAAACATCGCAAAATTATTTTTGGTTCAAAATAAATATATTAGGTACAGATCGGCCAGAACTTCTTTGCGTGCAAACGGGTCGCTACTAGCCTAACTAAAACGTACGGGTACCGGCTATTGGCAGTGCTGAGGGTAGGGGTGAGTGAGTAGCAGGACCAGGGTTGGTTGGTACTAAATTTATAAAATTTAATTCCCTGACTTTTCCATGTTTTCCAGACTGATATTATACTTTTCCAGGTATACCGTAAGTCAATATCGACCAATCAAAGTCAAGAAATACTAGACAAAATTTATATATTTGACTTATTCAATCACTCCCTAGTACTTATACAAAACTTGTTTCAAACTATACCAGGTGTCCAAAAAGTCCCGGGTTGGTTGAATATTTTTAAAATATTTCAAATAGAGCTACAAAACTTTGCACACAGTTACTGGACATAAAAATCTATTTTATCACATATTCAGTGATCCGATACTTCCTCAGGGGCACGGCCCGCTAGGATTTAGAAGAAAATCTTAAATGTTAGCATAGGTTCATATGCATATCGAATAAAAGGTCTTTATTAATAGGGTACAGAGCTGCAAACCCGACCTCAAACAGATAACTGAGTCAAAAATGACAGCCGTTCAAAGATTTATTGAATCTTCCATTTTGAAGTGTTGCCATTTTTTACCCAGATGCTATTTTGAGCTCAAATTTGCAGGTTGCTGCATTGTATTCTCCAAATAAAGACCTTTAATTTGATGTGCATATTGACCTATGCTTACGTTTGTGATTTTCTTCCGACTTCTAGTAGCCCCTGAGAAGGTAGCGTATAATAGCATTGCAAATTAAATTAATCTTTGGACAGCTGTCTTTTTTTACTCGGTTGTACGTTTGAGTTTGTGTTTTTGGCATTGTATTTTATTAACAAAGAACTTTAATTTGACGTGAATATCAACCTATGCTTAAATTTAAGATTTTCTTCTGACATCTAGCCGTCCATTGAGGAAGTAGCATATCACTGAATATGTCCCCCTGACGAAGAAGCGGATCACTTGATATGAAAAAAAACTTATTTTTACGTTCAGTAACTTTGTGCAAAGTTTTAAAGCTCTATTTTAAATAACTTATTTCAAAAATATTTAATCGACCCGGGAATTTTTGGACACTCTGTATACATATCGATTCCTCCCCCGTACCGATAACTATCTATCAATATAAAAATGTGCATCAGTGCTTATGTTGTTCTTTTTGCCAAAAGTCATCACCCTGATAAAATCATGTTTAGAGCAAAATGTAGCACATCTGTAAAAAGTTAGTTTTTCAGGAGAAATTCCAGAACTTGTCATAATTCCCTGACTCCCTGACCGTACCAACCCTGAGGACACAAATGTTTTCACAAAAGTAGCCCCGCCAACCCCCTTGCCTAGACCCGGCCAGACCTGGTCGCTCACACTAAAACTTTGGACGAACTGAATTAATGATCCTTCCAACTCCATCTAGCTGAATTAACTATGATAGTGGTTTAAATACCTTATTCTTGCAATCCGATTTGTTGTCTTCACAACTAGTTTCAACCTGCTAGGAGGTCATCATCAGGTGAGTACAAGGATGAAATTACTTCATATGAAGGTCGTCAGTAACAGTTTGATGATGACCTCCTAGCAGGTTGAAACTAGTTGTGAAGACAACAAATCGGATTGCAAGAATAAGGTATTTAAACCACTATCATAGTTATTATTCGCAATCCGGAGGCTACTCACACCACAATATAGCTGAATTGAATTTAAGCATCGTCATTTTAATTTTTCCCCCTTATTTATCCTTCTGGACTGTTTATTTTTTTGTACAAAAAGGAGTACACCAAATTTAAGTCTTGAAACAAATTACCGTTTTTAAAAAAAAAACCAGCAGTATCTGCTCAACCAATCGTCCTCTGATGATGATCTTTATGAAGCATCCATCATTTGTCTCAGCCTCTTGAGGTTCAACTGCCTCAACCTCAGCCAGTTGTATTATGTTTCCAGGGGCTCTGGAGTCTTCATTCTTTGAGCAATAACATTTAATCAATATTTGTTTATGGTTTGATTGTGCAAAATGTTCCTTCAACTGTTCAACAATGTTACTACTACTGGTGCAAAGTTAGATTAGACTAGCTGTGTGCCTGTTCTAGGGGATCTTTTAGTATTCAGTTGAATGTGACAAAAATCACACAATGTTGGGTTTTTGGACATTTGTAATTTTATTTCTTAAGTAGGTAGGCCATGTATTCTATGAAAAATACCGGTATCAAGGATCGTCGTCGAAAAGGTTGTTATGAATAAATAGGTAGGCGTACGTTCCCAAGAGATGGGCTATGGGTCTATTGGTTGTATGGTCCAGCAATTGCATCACATGGTGAGGCTGGGAGAGCCTCAGCGAGAGCCCAGAAAACATACTACTATAACCCAGAATGCCAACCGCATGGTAAAAAGCGTTAAGTACTTTGAGAGAGCTTTGCCTGTCAATTCTTAGGCAGTGCCACCAGCGTTGCTATGCACTCAGCAAAATTTAAAAAAAAATGTAAAATTTATATTGTAAATTATTCTGTTGACACTTTTTGTATATGTTATGTAAATATATTAGGATAGTTTAGATTTAGTGACTTGAGTTAGTTTGAAAAACACGTGTCATGAAGCTCACTCGTAAATAAAGGCAATTTATTTACTTACTAAGTATTAATAGAAAATTTTGAATTTATTTTAAATACCTGTGTAGATGAGCTCACAACAGTTTGAAACCCTGCCTTGATTGTTATGAAACTTGAATTGAAAGGCTTAAAAAAAGCTGCAGTTGATCCCAAAAACAAGCCCATAGCTCTGGGGGATGCATTGCACGACGTCCAAGTGCCACGACGTCCAATAATATTTATTCAGTGCCACGACGTCCAAAACATAATTTTTGAGTTGTTGCACGACGTCCAAGTGCCACGACGTCCAAAAGTACAGTAACTGCCAAAAATATAGTCTTTCTACAAGCTTTGGACGTCGTGGCACTTGGACGTCGTGAAACAGCGCACTATAGGATTGTAAAAAAGTAACATTTGCACGACATCCAAAGTCGCTGCCAGTTGCACGACGTCCAAGTGCCACGACGTCCAATAAATATTTGACTGTTGCACGACGTCCAATATAGCTCAGCGCTGTTGCACGACGTCCAAGCTCCTTCATGATGACCGGTTACGATGACCGGCTACTTGCCGAACAGTGTTCTCTCGTGTAAAATGCTTATGGAACGTTTATTAGTTATATATACATGGGTATATGTTCTTGTTCAGAAATATATATACTATGAATATTTGTACCATTTATTGAAACATCATAAAGTAAAAATACCCCCGCCGCAGCAAACCTGCAGACTAAGCGAATTTCAACTTGTCTGATTACATTTTTACTAAAATATTTCAATAAATAAGACATATATTCCCTATTTAAATAACATTAGATTTAACAAGTGCTTAGGTTTGCTGCTACGAGGAAGGTAAAAAGTGTTTTTGACCATACATCAATAGTATCTAGGATGAAATAAATAAATTGGCCAAATTTTATCAATATACACCCATAAACAAGTAAACTACAACAATTTTCATTTTCTCCATAAGAATAACATGGGAATTTTTAATTACACTATTTTTGAATTTTCTCCGTGACCGTTAGGCATACAACAGCGCTTCAATATACTAAATTATTTCTGTTTTTAAGCTCTACAAAACATTTTAGAAAGAAATCGCAAAATTTTTTGTTTTTAGGTTCAAAAATGGGAAAACCCCATTTTTACCCCATAAAACCCCTCATAATCCCCCGTTCCCATGGTCCGATTATGCTGGATCGCGAACTCGTTCGAATAAACGTAGGTTTACACGTTTGTACCAAATTTCATCAAAATCGGATCATTTTTGCTCGAGTTATCGCGCTAACGGACACACACATATATATATATATATATGAATTTGAACGGATTGTGTTTTTGGCCTCTAGGGACCTCAAAATGAAAAATTAGATCGGTCTCGGGTCCAGGTCTTACCATGAGTACTACGGTAATAGCTTATTCCCTATATGGGAAATTCGCTAAAAAAAAACATAAAAAGAAAAAATAAACAAGGCAACAGTTGGAAAACTATAAGATTTACATGGTTTGAAAAATGATGACATTTTGTTAACAACCGATAAACTTCATTATGTTTGGAGTAAGCTTTTAAATACTTATTTTTTCAAGACTAGATGAATGTACATTGATCAACATGATCTTTGAAAACTATTTTTTATACCCTCATTTTAATTTTTACTAGTATAAAGAATAGAATGCCTTTTTCGAACTGTTTTTTAGGCTTCAATTAAATGTTCTTATGTCGCAAATATGTTTATTAATAGTATTCACTTAACATTGACTTAATTTTATTTCAATAAATTTTGTGTTTGTGTTTTGCTACACCACTTATTAAATTGCAACCAATGAGAATGTCATATAAATAAGTTGTACACAGGGTTCTTTTGTTTCCCCAACTCAAAAATACAACGCACATGAATTGAAAATGTTATAGGTTTTAATAGTACTGTAGCGAATCGAATATCAATAAAGTTAACGTATAACAATAAATTTACATATTCCTAGATTATAATTGAATGTGTTTACGAAGGAACACCACAACCTCAAAATTCAACATTACAGTATATTTACTCAAGATTTATTGTTTTCATATAGCACAGTTGATGTTGCCAACTAGCGTGGGAGCGGAAGTCCTGATAAAGGCTGGTTCTCGGAAAAGTAATAAACTTGTAGTTTGAATGAAACATTTTTTTAATTTTGTACAGGACTCATGGGATCCTCAGCATCAAGTACAAACTGCAAAATGTGTGTCGAAGGTCTGATTAGACCTTCCGAGATTTAGACCTTCAGCAACTGATCCGTTTTTTACCTTCCTTTAATTTATTCCTTTTCATGTTGTGCTTCATGTAACATACATAAACTAGAGGGCCGCTCATGCCCTTGACAAATAAATTAACATTTTCCCACAAATACAAATCAATATCGTCATTAGACAAGGATTAAAAAATAAAATTTTTAAACAAAACCTACCACGGCATATTCTTGAACAAGTATGCCTACAAACCTACGAGCATGTTTGTTATTATTATACTTAACCTACAAATGCTATGACTTAGGGCATACCTGCTTTCCTAGATAAAATATGTGAACTAATTGCGAGTGCGACGTGAACTTAGAAAAAGACTAGTAAGAATTTACAACTGTGAATTTCTCAGAATTGATTGACAGTTCAGACGAACCTGTGGCCACAGACTACGGAAACCTACAGTATTATTGTATTAGTATACTGTATTTGTATTATTGTGTTACTAGCAGAGTACCCGTCCTTCGTACGGGGTTGGCATATAAGTATAAATGCTTATTGCAGTTATGGGAGAGGACACGATTAAAAAAAAACTGGTATTTTAATTTATACGGTATCCTATTGTGTAGCACACATCTACCATAGTCCTGATGTTCTAGACTGCACCTAAACCATGGAAAAAAGTAAAGTTCTCATTGTGTACCACAACTTTTTTTGCTAGTTGGTTCAAATTAGCTGTGGTCATTAATGCAAAAAAACAACATAATCTAACAAAAAACCACTAAGTGGTAACACTTTCCCCGTAAGTCAGCAATCCAAAAAAAGATAATAAATCATTAATTTTTCTGCCAAGAAAAACAATGTAATGTATGTAAGTTTGGCAACTTGGCGGCAGACTTTTGCTTGGTTTTTTTCATTGAAGTTACGTTCGTGGATAATTTCACAAATCAACTTCTCTAATTAATTAGTCCAACTAAGTATAATAATTTCGAGGTAATCAGTAAATTTAAAACCATCACTATTACGAGTTTATGAAATGTGGCACAAATAAGGTCAAATTTTGTAAATAAGCTCTCGCCTAGCAATGTACTAATGGGAGAGATACTTGCTCAATGAAACTAGTTTTATGGTATTTTTTAAAGTGATCGAGCAAAAGTCTGCCGCCAAGTTGCCAAACCTACATACATTACATTGTTTTTCTTGGCAGAAAAAGTAATGATTTATTATCTTTTTTGGATTGCTGACTTGGCGGGGAAAGTGTTACCACTTAGTGGTTTTTTGTTAGATTTTATTTATTTTTGTAGAAAATTAACAGTTAAAATAAAAATCCTCCTTTCTCTGATATATAGACCACGGCACAACTACATCTCATTTAATTTCAATAATATTGTTTGTGTAGAACTAAATTCTACATTTTTGGTCTTATCTGCTTTAAACCGATTACAAAACTTTTTGACACACGTACCAAAATTACTATTTAACAAACCCCCTGGGCTTAAACTCAGTTTCAAATTTCATCAATGGTCATCTTGAACAACATGAAATGCGTTGGTGTTACATAAGTGTTCTGATAATTAAACCCGTACATCTAAAGACTAGTGTAAATTGAGCCCTTATTAGAGAAGTAAAAATGTAATCAAACAGATTAAGTTTGTTAGAAATAGCATAAACAAAACAAATATTGAAAAACTCATCTATCCTAAATTTACATATCACTTTTTAATTGCTTGTTTAACATACGTAGAGTGATTTTCCCGATTGTTTTATTTGTTTTAGTGTATCAAAACATAAAACAAACCTTAGTACTAGTACTAAATTTCAAGTTCCTAGGTTTCATATTTTTTAATAAGTAGTATTAAACTGTTAAAAATTACGAGCTGCTGTACCAGTGTACCATAGGTACACTGCATTTTTCAATGGAAAGTATCGGGGGGCTCTAAGTAATTTTATATAGTAAGTATTTCAAATCATTCGGTATACCTGAAAAAATACTTTATAAAAGTTTTAAAATAATTTTCAGCTGTTCCTATGAAATTCTCTAACATTTGAATTAAATGAGATTTAATCGCAGCTGGTCCTTCTGTTGTTTTTATTTTAATCCCATGTTATTTAAATGGGCCAAAATCGTACTTTGAGGGCTTGCCAAGGGTTTATGGGTCAACGCACCGACTTGAGACCCTCAAAAGGCACATCTACACGTTAACGGCTGTCAAACAACATAAAAAACATTAAAATTGAGCCAGTGGTTTGGGCTGTAGGTCCGTCAGCATTCAAGGAGAAGAAGGAGAACACGGAAAATTTGTGAATTTTCAAACTAGTTTTTCTGGCTCAAACACAACCGTTTTTTAAATTCTTTTTTTTTATTTTGTTGAGAATGAGTGCCCCTATCCAGTAGATGAATAATTATTTTAATAGCTTTTGTTTCTTCAGAGCTATAGACGAGTAAAAAAGCCACTTTGTCACGTCATGTATATAATACACTGCAGCAGCTATGTACCGCTGGGGGACTTGGCGGGGCGGAACGCTGCCGCGTTCCTTAATAGTGATGCACCCTATTGGCAGACCTTATAACTTTTTAATGCTATTTAATATCATAGAACCAACTTGTACAGTTGAAACGGCTGACAAAATTCTTTAATTTCTTTAAATATGAATACTCATAAGGTTAACATGAGAAAGTCCAGAGCCAGAGCCACCGGGGCGGAGACTGAAAGAATTTTTGAGGCAAGAATATGTTAATCGGGGATGTCATCTATCATCATACCAAATTTCAACCTTGTCGGTTTAGTATTTTTCGCGTTTGCTTGTCACAATCATCCATCCATCCATCCATACATCCATACATCCATACATCCATGGTTTGCACTGAAAAAATAGGAAAATATAAATAAATATGGAAAATAGGGTAATTTTCTAACATATTTTAGTGAAATTATATAATCAGGCAAATGGAAATTCAGTCTACAGATTTGC